GATTGGAAGGGAAAGGGCAAGCGGCACTCCCCTAGGGGGGGTGACCGGTACGCGGACAAGCGCGCCCGCTGGTGGGCAAGGGGCGACTCCTACACCCAGGGCTGACTGTGCCTGGCTACCCGCCTCAGCACCTCTGGCGCTCCTGGCCAACGAAACCTGTCCCTCCCTACCGGCTCTTCTTGCCCTTAAGGGGCCAGTTTCACTTCGCCGCGCCCGGCTCAGGCCGCAATGCCTAGGGGCAACCTCCGCTGGGGCGCAAGTTGCCCTGCATCTCACCCACGGCGCAGCGTAGCTAGACAGCCCACGCTGAACAAGTGGACCCACCCTCCATTTCGGGCCCAGCGCGGGGGGGGCCCCCCCCTGCACCCGACCCCCCACCCCCCTGACACGACAGGGGGCCCGCCCGCAGGGCAGACAGGTCCCGGGCTCACCCACTTTGCTGTCCGACGACGACAGCCACCCACCCGCCGGTGGCGGGCGGTCGGCCGAGGGAACACCCCCCCCCGAGCACCAGCGGGTCGACCTGTCCAGGTCATAGTTTGGCAATGTCGACTCTAGCGGCGATCAGCTGCGACCCCCATGACCAACCTGCAAGGACCCGCCCAACACTCGCTGACCTGAGCGGCGATCAGCTGCGACCCCCTGGACCAAGCACTTCCCCTATCCCACGTGGGTGGGGGCCTGACCAAGGTGAGAGGCGGCCTTCCCCCCGCCCCCCACCGCGGGTGCCAGGCGGGCGCCCCCCGCTCTTGGCCACGGGGACTACCGACGTTCCGTCGGCTGTTGGCGGTGCCTCCCCTCCCAGGGCCGCACTCGCCCATCGCTGCTTGGGGCTGGTTCCCCCCCCCTGCGGCGGTCCAGTGCGGCCCCGGTGGGCTCGCGGCGTTCGTTGGCGGGTCCGTGGCCAGGGTGGGATGTTCCTGCGGCGGGCGTGGCCGGACCTGCGTCTGACGGCCATCCTGTCACTCCTTGTGCAGCCCCCCCCTGGCACACCGCTTTGAGACAACATCGCCTCGCCCGTGCCAACGCCACGTGCCCCGTGAGGCACGAGTCAACCTGTGCTCTTGGAGACCCCCTGATCGGGCCCGGTTCGCCCTGCGGCACCACCACTCCAGTGCACTCCATCTCTCCCTCTTCGCTGGCGATGCTCACCACGCCAGCGGGCTCCCCGGCATCCCGCGGCCTCGCCGTGCCGGCTCGCGCTGGAGGGCTCACAGTCGCACGGTTCCCCCCCGACATTGCGATGTGGTCTGACTGGGGCTGGCTAGTGCGCTGAGTGGTTCAGCCTTCCGCAACAGGCACAGTCCTACAGGCCCACCTTCAGCCCCCCCTGTGCGTTGCACCACGGCTCACGACTGCTCAGCCGGCTTGGCTTACGCAGGTCGCCCGCTTGGAGCCTGGCGCCGACGTGGCGACTCACTCCAATGGCCATCTCGTCTTCACCTTGCACAATGACTCGCCCGCGGGCTTAGTGCGGGTTGTGCCCCGGCCGCCTGAACTCTGGTCATTTTGCCCAGTTCACGTGCCCGTGTTTGCAGTGCGCCAGTCAGCGCAGCCCACCCAGCTTGCAGCTACCGTCTGAGTGGGCCGGCCGGCGCTGTTCTAGCCAATGCGCCTCGTTCGTGGCCCGGACGTTGCCCTTGCCGCCTGACCCTTGTCTGATGGCCGGTGACCAAAAAAATGCCCCCACCAGCCCATCCAGAAAACGATGCCAATGGGAGTTGCTTGGAGGGGGGCGTAGGCGAGCATATGGTGAGACAGTGAGGCCAACAATGGTAAAATTAACGACCTCGGGGGGCCTATTGGGGCGCTCTTGGGGTCATCTCGGAAGCCTTCTGGACTCGTTTGGGACCCTCTTCAGGTTCTCCTCGGCTTCTCTTGGGGGCCTTCAGGGGCCTCTTGGGGCCATGTTGGGGACCATCGACAATACAAGGAAGCGGTCGGAGGCGGGCAAATATATTTAGGGGGCTTTTTTTCGGGCCATCCCTCTTGGGACGCTCTTGAGGCGCTGCCGGGCGCTCTGGGGGCCGCCTTGCGGCCCGCTTGGGCTCCTCTTGGGGCACTCTTGGGCCATCGTGGGGTCATCTCGAGGCCGTCGCGCTCAAGCCTTGCGGCGCCCCCACGCATGCACATGCACGCGCGCGCACCCGTCAGGGAGGAGATGGCCCTCTCCCCCGACGTCGAGACTCATGTTGTGACGGGTCTCTGGGGATCTCGAGACCCCCTCCCCAGGACCGGCTCGGGGCCGGGATGCAGTGCCCAGAGGCCGAGATCCCAGAAAAGCTGGCCGTCGCGATTTTCCGCCGCGCCCCCCAGGTCGGAGGGGCAGCGGGGCGCAACCGAGCGCGCCCCATTGCTCGCAAAGTGCCTGCTCGCAAACATCCGGAAAAAACGCAAAAAAAAAAAAAAAAAAAAAAAAAAAAAAAAAAAAAAAAAAAAAAAAAAAAAAAAAAAAAAAAAAAAAAAAAAAAAAAAAAAAAAAAAACCTTTGCCTCGGTGTAAGGGAATGCCTTCTCAGAAGGCTCAGAAGCCCCCCAGCTTTCGGGGAAGTTGTCGAAGCCTTCCCCGAAGACACAGGAGACTTCTCGGAAGGCGCGAGGGCTGCTGAGAAGTCCCGTCGCCTTCTGAGGAGGCCTTCTCCCTCTCATTGCCCCCCTCGTTCGCCGCCGAGCGGAGCGCAAATCCTCCGCGGCGGATCCAGGCCATTTGCGAGCAACTACCTTGCGAGTGGTGGAGGGCGCTGGTGGTCTGGGGCGGCAGGGGGGCCCCATCCTCCTCTTCCCCCTCCTCCTCCCCCCCCTCCTCCTCCTCCTCCTCCTCCCCTGGGGGGAGGGCTTGGCCCGCGGATACCACGTGAACCGCGAACGCAGCGAGAGGCATAGTCGGGGGACCTCGCCCGAGCCAGTGGGCAGTAGCATCGACGATGGGGACAGTGCGAGACGCGGGCTTCCCCCGCGCGGTGAGGGGTTAGACCGCAGCAGCAGCGATCCTCAGCGCGGCGAGGGGTTAGGCCACTTTCTCCCCCAGCGCGGCGAGGGGTTAGGCCGCAGCTATGGATTGGCAGCGAGCTCGAGCAGGTTGCCACGGGCACCGACTGGCGACTACATCGAGCTAGAGCTGTATGACGAGTATGACAACTATGTCCCCCAGCACGGTGAGGGGTTAGACCGTACCTGACCCCAGCACAGTGACAGCGCGGGGCAAGGCGATCCCCAGCGCGGTGAGGGGTTAGACCGCAGCAACCCCCAGCGCAGCGAGGGGTTACGCCACCGACCCCAGCGCGGGGAGGGGTTCGACCGCTCTCTGCCCCAGCGTGGCGAGGGGTTAGGCCAGGTCCCTGACGAGCCCAGAAAGCATGACGCGGACTGCGTGACCAACATGGTGGTAGACAGGACCTCGCAACTAACAGAGCGGACCCATACCCTGGGAAACCGACAGACTGAACGCGAGGGGGAGGGCTTGGCCCGAGGATACCACGTGAACCGCGAACACAGCGAGCGGCATTGTCCGGAGACCCCGCCCGAGCTAGAAGGCAGCAGCATCAAGTATGGCAACAGTGCGAGACTCGGCTCTCCCCCGCGCGGTGAGGGGTTAGACCGCAGCAGCAGACCCCAGCAGGGCATGGGGTTAGGCCACAGGCCCCAGCGCGGCAAGGGAGTAGGCCGCACCGTTCCCCAGCGCGGCGAGGGGTTAGGCCAGTCCTACTCCCCAGTGCGGCGAGGGGTTAGGCCGCAGCAGTGGTACGGCAGCGAGCTCGAGCACGTTGCCACGGGCACCGACTGGCCGCACCCGACCCCAGCACGGCGACAGTGCAGGGCAAGGTGACCCCCAGCGCGGTGAGGGTTTAGACCGCAGCAGCATTCCCCTGCGTGGCGAGGGGTTAGGCCACCGACCCCAGCGCGGTGAGGGGTTAGACCGCTTCCTGCCCCAGCGTGGCGAGGGGCTAGGCCACAAAATTCCCCAGCGCGGCGAGCGGTTAGGCCGCAGGAGATTTGCTTCGAGTTCGAGTAGGTTGGCATTGGTACAGCCCGCCGACTACATCGAGCTGGAGCTCTACGATGAGGACGACGAGGCTCCAGGCCCGTCGCCCGCCAGCGGCTTGACACAGGCGCAGCCCTGTGCGCCTGTCGCCGCCTCCGCCGCCCGCTCGCCGAGCGTGAACCCCAGAGTGCCCGCGACCTTGGCACCTGGGAGTGGGCCCCCGCTGGGAAATGGGCCAGCGGGCGGCGGTGGAAGAGACTGATGGATAACCCACGGGCTCGCCATGTCGCGCTGGGGCCTCGGTGTCAGCGCGGGGTGGCGAGTCTAGTGGCGTGCCTAACCTAATCCTCCTCCTCCTCCTCCTCCTCCTCCTCCTCGTCCTCCTCCTCCTCCTCCTCCTCCTCCTCCTCCTTCCTCCTCCTCCCCGTCCTCCTCGCCCTCCTCCTCCTCGCCCTTCTCCTCCTCCCCTTCTCCCTTTCCCTTTTCCCCCCCCCCTCCTCTCCTCTCCTCCTCCTCCTCCTCCTCCTCCTCCTCATCCTCACCTCATCTCTCCTTCGCATCCTCAACCTCATCCTCATCCTCATCCTCCTCCTCCTCCTCCTCCTCTCCTCGGCCTTTTCCTCCTCCTCCTCCTCCCCTCCTCCTCCCTCCTCCTCCTCCTCCCCTCCTCCTCCTCCTCCTCCTACCCTCCGCCTCCTCCTCCTCCTCCCTCACCCTCCTCCTCTTCCTCCTCCTCATCCTCCCCTTCCCTCATCTCCTCCCCCTTCTCCTCTTCCCCCTCCCCTCTCCTCCTCCCCCCCTCCTCCTCCTCCCTTCTCCTCCCCTCCTCCTCCTCCCTCCTCCTCCTCCTCCTACTCCTCCTCCTCCTCCTCCTCCTGCTCCTCGTTTCCTCCACCTCCTCCTCCTCATCCTCCTCCTCGTCCCCCTCCTTCTCCTCCTCCTCCTTCCTCTGCTCCTCCTCCTCCTCCTCCTCCTCCTCCTCCTCCTCCTCCTCCTCCTCCTCCTCCGGGGGGGGCGAGGTCGCCGAGGGGACGCACGTCGACTTCCTCAACAGGAACGTGCTCGGCAGGCCCCGCTGCCGCGCGCCTCTCGCTGCCCCGCCCCGCTGCCGCAGCTGCTCCTCGCCGTCGACTTCGCCGCCGTCGCCATCGTCGCCGTCGCCGTCGACGTTCGCCATCGCCGTCGCCGTCGCCGTCGCCGCTCGCCGCTCGCCGTCGCCGTCGCCGTTCGCCGTCGCCGTTCGCCGTCGCCGTCGCCGTCGTCGGCCCCGAGCTCGGCGGCGCGCTTGGGAGGGCAGCTGAGAGGGGGCGAGCAGTCTCAGAAGGCTCAGGGGTCCCTAAGGGCGCCCTCGAGGGCGCGAAGTTATTCGCACTTCGCGCAGCGCGAAGCGCGAAGTTGGGAGCCCGTGGAACTTTTCTAAGCCTTCCCAAAAAAACAGAACGATTCTCAGAAGGCTGGAGGGTTTCTGAGCAGCCCCGCCGTCTTCCGAGAGAGAGTCTTCTCCGTTTCGCTTCCCCACCCCGCTCGCCGACGGCAGGCATAGATGTTTTCTCCCGGAGGGTCAGAGAGGGGGTCCTGAGGTATGGGGCCCCAAGGATAGGAAGGGATCCGAGGGTGGCGGCAGGTCAGGTTAGGGTGGTCTGGTAGGTAGTCATCGTCTCCGTCGCCGTCGTCGGCCCCAAACCGGGTGTTGCTGGAAGTGCCCTTGGCCCACGGCCTCCAGAGCGCCCTTCACGAGGCCCAGGGGGGCACATGGGGCTCCATAACAGAGCGACAAGCCCGGGGGTTCCTTGGGCCAGGGCACCTTTAGCTCCATCCTTGACCACTTTCGACGTCCAGCCCCGCTCGAAAAGCTACGACATGGGCGTCCAAGGGGCTTGCAGCCGTAACGTTCATCTTAACTATGAGTTTTGAAGGCACGTCTGCAGGATCTTGCAGCATCCTGCAAAGCCCGGTTGACCCGGGTTTGCATTGACCTGGGTCAAAGGAGGCCCGATCTTCTTAGAGATGGCAGCTTGGGGGCGTCCTGGGTTTCCGGTGCCCGCCAAATGGGGTCCGAATATATGGTCGGGTGCGGCCAATAGGGTGGCGATGACTAGGGCTGTGTGGATATGTCATAGCTGGGGCCAGGCAATCTCCTGGACATCATGGCCTCCCCTTCTTCTGCCAACACGTCCCGTGCCACCTCCCCCTCGTCCGCGCACATGCCTCGGGCATGACTTGCTAAACCGCTTGGACGCCCCTGAGTCGTCGGGCCTAAGCTTTCCCAGGCCTCCCAAATGGGGTCCGAGGAGATAGGATCGGAGGATCGTGCCGCATCGCCGATGCATCGGCGATGCAGCCCGATGTGGGGTCCACTTTTCTTGACGCCAACGGCGCAGCAGCATCGCCGACGCATCGCCGGTGCATCGGCGATGCATTGGCGATGCGGCGCAATCTTTCGACCCCACCTAGTCGGACCCCATTGAAAAGGCATCCATAATCGGAGGTTGACAGACCTCCTACCCTGACACGTCGATTAGTGACTTGGCCACTTTCGGTTCGCGAGAGGGCTTCGCGGCCGTCATTTTTGCGGGTCCAGGTCCGTCGGTTTCGGTCCCAGGCTGTTTTCACTAAAGGGATGTTTACTAAAGGGAGGTTTCTCCACCGCCGACATAATCTTCCTCGCGTCGCGAGGAATCATTGCAGAAAGAGTGATTGTGGAAGGTCCACGCGAGCTTTCTTGCGCCTGCGCCGCACCTCCTTTGCTGACGCCTCCGTCGCCGCCCCTGGCGCGCTCCGCGCGTCAAGGATGAGGAGCCAGCGCTTCTCCAAGAGATCCGCGCGGGCCCTCGAAAGTTGATGTGTATGCCGTTCCCCGAGACACACCCTGGTCAGAGAGGCGCCGAAACTCGGCAGCGCCGCTCTCGCTCGATATGCATTCGCAGCCCGGTCAATTCGGTGAAGGCCGAACTGCGACGACGTCCGCTCCCTGTCGATATATACATGTATATAAACATATATGTGTGTACCCCAGATTTCGTAATAAAAGGGAGGGGGTCTGGACCCTCCAAGACAAGCCATTTCAGACCTCCCCCATGGGAGAACCCTCCAAAACATCGTCCCCAGACCCCCCCAGGCCCTCCAAGATAGCCTGGAAAAGACCCCCCCGAAATGAGACCCCCCTCCCTTTATTACGAAATCTGGAGTATACGTATATATATGTGTACTATACATATTGATGTATATATAAATGTAGGTATACGTATATACTTTTGTATGTATGCATGCATGTATGATGGGCTTTGGCCCATCCCGCCACCGTGCCTGGTTTGTAGATCAGAGGCTTCCTGGAAGCACGCGGGGATCTCTTTGGAGGCCTGTCGGATGCCCCCTGGAGGTGGTTTCGGGGGCGTCTTGGGGCACTGTGGCGACCATGCTGCATCAACAAAAGCAAGCGGTGGTCGCACTTAGGAGTTCTTATTTCTATCACTCAGGAGTTGGGCGTGCCCGCCAGGCAAGGGCGCCCTCGAGGGCGCGAAGTTGTTCGCGCTTCGCGGTTCGGCTCCGATTCCTCATCTTCCTCTTCTCCCCTGGGAGGCGGCGCAAGGGCGCGAAGTGATTCGCACTTCGCGCAGCGCGAAGCGCGAAGTTGGGAGCCCTTGTTCCCCCACAGATCCGATCTGCAAACTCTGGTTCCGTGCGGCCCCCTCGGGGACGTGCCGACCCGGGCCCTGGGCCCCAGCAGGGGCCGGCCTGGCGTCCCCAGCGCCGCGTTATCTCTGACGACGACGACGACGACGACGACGACGACGACGACGACGAGAGCCCTGGGCCCCAAGTTCGCGCTCCGCGCAGCGCGAGAGCGCGAAGTGGGGAGCCCTTGGCCAAGGCTCTGCGCCGCGTGGCGGCTCGTGGCCGCCTCGCTGCCGCCCCGCCTTGCGGGGGGGGTCCGCCGGGGGCCTCGCCGCGGCGCCGCCGCCCCGTGGCCGTGGCCGCCCCCGGGGGCCCGCGCGCGCCGCCGCGCGGGGGCCGCCTCGTTGCCGCTAGGGTTAAGTGGGGCCCGTCCCTCTACAGGGGGAATGCTCAAAAGTAGTCAAGAACATCGTCTGGGGACCATGTTTTAGCTGGTTCTGAGCATTTGGGGAGTATGTTGGGGGTATCTTTAATCTTTCGTCGAAAGTCCCCCTGTAGGGGGACAGGCCCGACTTCACGCTAGGGGGGGGATCACGACCTCGTGGCCTCCACCACACAGCACACAGAATGCACGGCTCACACGACCCAGCTCAGGCCACGCAGCGCACGCCACGGCTCAACGCCACACGGCCATAGCCCCACGCACAGCTCGCACCGCACAGCTCGCACCACCCACAGGTGGCTCACGCCGCACGACTCACAGAGCATGGGGCGTACACATGGCTTTCACCGCAGACCTCAGACATCATAGCTCACATCACATAGCTCACACAGCATAGCTCTCAAGACCGACCTTCCACAGCATAGCTTCTACTCCATATCATACACCACTGAGCTCACAGTGCATAGCTTACACACGATAGCTGTCACCTCCGCAGTCCAATAATTCGTTGATTGGAGTCCAGACTTGCGAATTTCCGATGCATAGAGTAACAAATATGTGTGTACACAGATCCATGTATACACGTCTTTCCAAGTTGCTCCGAGGCGCCTTGGCCAGAGACGCCCTTGCTCTCACGAATGGCGCTCTCGCACGAGACTTCCTCGCAATCCGCTTGGGTTTGTAGAGGCCCAGCGAGGACGACAACGACTCCCGCTCGGTGCTCCCCATCAATTTACTACCACGCGCCCTGGTCAAATGAACTCTTACACAGGAACGGCGCTCTCGCCCAAGACATTCCCTCAAGTCGTTTGGGTTGGTGAAGGCCAAACTGTTAACTGCAACGACAACGGCTCCAGCCCCATACACTTCCTCGCGCTTAATTCGGACATTTCATGGGCAGATACGGGTATGTCCTCTCATTCAGGCATGGCGCCCGAGGCGCCGAACGAGCCCACAGAGTGCCCACTTGCATTGCACAGTGTTTGGGCAGAAAACACGCCAATCGGGGATTGTCGCAGGTTCTGAGAAGACTGGTACAAGGAAGCGGGAGGTACAAGTGAATATCACACCAGCTCCTTAGATCGCATGTTCGCAAGATGGTCGTCGTGGGTGTCGCAGTCGTCGTCGCCGTCGTCGTCAAGGTCCCTGGGGCATGTATGATGCTTTGGGCCGTTGAGGGCCGCCTCCTCACCCCATCATCCCTCTTCCCTCTTTCTGCTACTGATCCTCCCCCGTCTGCTCAGCCTCGCCTCTCGCTGCTCGGACGGAGTGGCGCCCCAGGGCTGCTCATATCCCCATCAGGATACCCGCTGCTCAAATCTCGAAGGGACTGCCTCCATCAGGGGCAGGAGAAGCTACACCGAGACCACTGGCAGTGCGACCCCCAGCGAGCAGGTCCTCGACACCATCCCCCGAGCTGGACGTTCGAGATGACTCGGGTGGAAATCTGGAAATAGGAGGAGCAGGAGGAGGAGGAGGAGGAGGAGGAGGAGGAGGAGGAGGAGGAGGAGGGGGAGGGGGAGGGGGAGGGGGAGGGGGGGGGAGGGGGGGAGGGGAAGGAGGAGGAGGAGGAGGAGGGCGACACCACATCGCCACAAGGACCCGGGGCAGGGAGCGACGGCGGCTCCGCTGCGTGGGGGGCGAGTCTTCGGCGGACCGCCTCGACCGCGTCGCCCCCGGGCCTCGTCGGCCACCACCGCAGCGCCTGCGGCGCGGCCGGCGCGACGCCGCGCGCCAGGCGGGAGCGCCCGGGCCCAGACCCGGCTCGCGCGGACCTCGGCTTCGGTCTCCAGGCCGTCGGCGCTGACTTGCCTTGCGACGAGAAGGGCGGCCTTCCAGCTGAACGGTTGGGCCTCCTCCTCCTCCTCCTCCTCCTCCTCCTCCTCACCCACCTTGGGCTGGGCCTCCTCGAGCGCGCGAGGCCTCCTCCTCCCCCTCCTCCTTTCCCTCCCGCTGGTGCAACGAGGATTTCTCAGACATCCTGCTGCATGGCGTAACTGCTCTCAGGTGGCCGAAGACCTGCGCGGCGTCGTTCTCCCGTCTTTGGCCTTCGTGGAGTCGTTGACGATCTGCGGACTCGCCATTGCGCTGGCGCTTCTCTTCGCCAGCCCGCTCATCAAGTAGATCGCGACACGACGTGCTGCGAGGTAGCCGCGGCCCGTTTCGATAGCACGGGACTTCGAACACTTGTTCACAGCAGCAGCACAAAACAAATGTTGGTTCAGCAATTCTTCTGTTGACCTCGCACTCCTCATGTTCTTCTTCCTCACCTGGAATTACGGCCAGGAGCGTTTGCTGAAGATGTCGCGACGCCAGCTTGGGCCCAGCACGCTTCGGCACGATTCACCACGCAGGCTTCAGTCCCAAAGCATATACGTTCCCCTTCGTTTCCCCGCATCCCGTCCTGCGAAGAAGAGCGAAATGAGATCAACTCGCAAGGCATAGCGTGTCGCAGCTGGCGCCGCCGCGACTCGCTAAACAAAAGCTCCTGACCGTACCCTGGGACCCAGAAGCCAGAAACGAGCAAGAACCCCCAAAACCTCGGCCCTCGAGCCTCGCCTCCCGTTCCTCGCCCTCGTCCCCCCCTCCCTCCTCCTCGCCCTCCGTTCTGCCCGACCTCCCTCCACCACCCAGCGCAGGCCCGAGTTCATCGTCAAGTCGGATGACGAGGACGACCTCGGCAAGGCCGCCGCGCGCCGCCTCTTGACGCGCCCGGAAGTGGGGGGGCAGGACGAGGGGTCTGGGAGGCGAGGGGCTTCGGGGGCTTCACGGCCGACTCGGGCCCGGCCCCATGCCCGGGAGACTCGGGGAGTTCGGCGCGGTCGGGTTCAGGCTCGGTGCATCCGAAGAAGGGTAGTCCTCCTCCTTCTTTCACCCACCCAATCCTCTTCAACCTTCTCATCATCCTCCTCCTCGTCCCGCACCTACCTGCTCCTCCTCCTGCTCCTCCTCCTGCTCCTTCTCCTTCTCCTCCTCCTCCTTCATCTTTCATGCTCGTGGGTTCCTCCTCCTTCACCCACCTTCTCTACCTCCTCCTCCCTCATCCACAGATTCGTCCTTCTCCTCCGCCGCCTCCTCCTCTTCCTCCTCATCATCATCACCATCAACATCACCATCATCTTCATCATCATCATCATCATCATCATCATCATCATCATCATCCTCAGACTCCTCCTTCTCATTCTCCTCATCATCGTCCTCATCCTCCTCCTGCTCCTCCTCCTCCCGTTCCTCCTCCTCCTCCTCCTCCTCCTCCTCCTGCTCCTCCTCCTCCCGTTTCCCTCCTCCTCCTCCTCCCCCTCCTCCTCCTCCTCCTCCTCCTCCTCCTCCCCCTCTCCCTCGCAGCCGCCTCGGCTGTTCCCGCCCCGAGCATGCCCGCCCGCGCGCTTGTGGCGCCCTGCCCGCGCGCGCCTGGGGTTCCCCCGGTGCCACCGCGGGACCGTGCCATCAGGCGGGAGGGGGGAGGCCATCATTTTTTCAAACATCATCCGAGGAAAGGGGGAGGGGGAGGGAGGTGAGGTGGGAGGCCGAGCCACTCAGGTGATCTTGTAGGAGGTACAAGGGACCGCGCAACTTGCGCGTAGCGTAGTACAGGGCGCACCTTGTCCGTATCGCTGAAGACGTCGTGCCCTTATTTTGCTATCGGTTGCTTGGAATCCGTATCGAAAGATACATTGATATGTTAGATGTATCCCTTAGCGATCGTCCTCATCAGCTTCCCCACGCGCACGCCTATGGTGTCCGTAATGGATATGTAGTGTGCGTTTGTTGTGCGTCCCGAGGGATGGAGCATGAACGGATTCCTCTTCTACTGCTCAGCGCTGGTAGGATTGGACGCCGGCAACCTGGTCTATACCACGGCCTTCGCGACCATCACGCGGGCGATAGGACTCGGGGTCACCGACAAGGACACCGCGCACGCACTCGACCCCAACCTGATCCCACCCCGAAGGAACCGACCCAACATGCCGGCAGCTTGGCATATCCAGGAGACCTGTATCCCTGCCGACGTCCCCAGGCGCAGACCCAGATGCTGGCACCCATTGACCTGCAAGTGCCAGAAGAACAAGGAACCACCCACAACGGCCGTGTTCCACGCCTTCTGCAGCATGGGTCCAAAAGAAAACCTAGCTGCTGTCGTCAACAGCTTCCGGGACAGCACCGGCGCGACCTTGGACGGTATCCAGGCCAGGATCCTCCTCGCCCTGTCCCTGCTTATACAAAGCGAGCCACGTACCTGTCTGTACCCATACGGGGACGCCGAGGGCATCGGGGACGTGCTGGAGGCCATCCTCGGCCTGTGCGAGCCGCACCGCCCACGCGACAAGACTGCACGTGACCAACTGAGCGCGTTGTTCGGGCTCCAGAGGAAGCACTTCAACCAGCTGCACTCCGCACTGGAGCTCCTGATCACAGCGGTGTCCGGCTTGGTCACGGTCGCCCACCACCACCCTCTGGCCAAGAAGGCGAACTGCCCCGCGACCTGGGAGGGCCCGGTGGCCAAGGAGTTCCCGCCCCAGGCAACCCTCGCAGTCATCGAGGGCATCGTGTCCACAGCCGATCTGGCTGCCTTGGAAGCCCACGAGTGCGCTGTATGCGCGCTCTACGTCGACGTGATCGGATCCGACATCGGCCTCGCCCACGACCCGACCAAGCAGGCAAGAAGCGTCACCTGGATAGGTGGAGGATACTCCTAGACGCGCCTACACCTGGACGCACCGGCCTCTCTCGGGCCACGCCCTGGAGTGACACTAAGGCCCCAATGGATTGACAGCTGGGACACCAGGTGGAAGAAGGACCAGCAGAAGCCCGACTTCTACTGTCAAGGATGCCAGCGCGGCGCCTTCAAGCACGATAAAGGCGCATACGTCAGCGAACGGATCCGCCAAACCATCAGCAGCAACAGGCTGACGGAGTACTACCATGGGAAGGACCTGACCTGGCCTTGCATATGTTGCTGGACTACGAAAGCAATGGCCGAGCGGCGGCCCATTCCTGACGACGTGGACTTCAAAACCTGGATCAACGACCGCCCCGACGACATGTCTGTCCGCGCAACGCGTGCCCTTCCCGGGATGTGTCCGACGCCCTTACCCACGGCCCTGACGCCCCTGGAGCAGCTGCGGGCCCCGCTGGAAGGCGACCTGAACCCCCTCAACGCGGGAACCGCCCTCCCAGTCAACGCCGCGAACGACGACAGCCTTATCAGCCAGTTCTACAAGGGGAATGTCGGCATCTGGAAGTGCGACGGACGCCCCTCGGGCACGGAGGGACACCGGCGGGGGCCGGGACAGGCCTACCCAGGCATGCACGGGCACGCTGGGGATCCAGGAGGACCCCGCGACGGCTTCAGCCTGGCCCACGCCCCCCCCACCCCACCCACACACAGCCGATGAGGGAGATGTTCCTGGCCAAGCGCTGGCGCGCAGGCTGGCACTGCAAGGAACGCCTTATCCACCAATGAAACATGCGCCCATCAGACGCGAGCGAGACACTCAGACAACACGGCCCCGACGTATACCCAAAAGCAGGGGACGAACCTCTCCCCACGCTACCAGGCACCCCTGCGTCGACGGCAGAAGGCGCAGCACGCCCCAGCCCAGAGGAGACGCGGCGACGCGCAGCCGCCCGGGACGAGGCTAAGCGCAGCTACCACGACCGCCACGCCTCTACACCGCCACCCCCGTCCCGGGACCCAGACGGCGCTGCCTCTGCTCAGTCCCCCACCGAGAGCGCAACCGCCAGCGGGGCCCATCAGCACACCGACCCACGGGCGGGCGCGCGCCCCGATCAGACACCCAGCCCAGTCCAGTCATCAAGGCCCACCAAGGAAAGGCGCGCGACACCCAGCCCAGTCCAGGCTACCCCCCCCTGCCCATCACCAACCAAGTCGCCCATCAAAGGCGGTGGTTCTCCCCCCGCCCCCCCGCCCCCCCTATCCACCCGCGCCGCGCTGCGGCGAGCCGAACCCAGCCCCGCCGGCCACTCGGCCCACGGCCACCAAGTCCAGCGGGGCGCCGCCCCCCTTCGACCCAGCTCCCGAACCCCTTGGGAGGGGTGCTGAGCACGTCAACCGCAATGCGCTGCAGGGGCAGGCTCGGACGCGCCCGTCTCGGGGTCCCTGCGCCCAGCTGCCACGGACAATCAATGCATCCAGTGCGGCGACTACGCGGTCATCAGGGGCGGCGCCCTTCCCCGCGCCAGGTGGTTCAGCGCGACGGATTGCGATGAGCCCCATCGCGACACAGCCCCTGGCAGGGGCCGTCTTCGGACCCGCCCCCCGCATCATCACGCGAGGGCAGGACGCGCGCGCGCTGCTCGCCCAGATCGGCGGAGAGCGGCTGGAAGCGCGAGGCGTCGGCGACAGGACGCTTCGCGCATGTGTCCTCCGTGGAGACGCAGCGCACCGCGCAGCTACCCTTTCTGGAGAGCGCCCAAAGGAAGGTGCACGGAAAGCAAGCGGCAGCAACCCCCAACAACCCCTCGAGCGGCGTCAGGATCACGGGAGACAGACCAGCGTCCGCAGAACACATGCAGGACAGGCCCCCACCTGAGCCCTACCAGCAACAATCCAACACACAGGATCCCACTTACGAATCTACATCCCTCATGCCGCCTAAGGAGGAGGTCCCTGACTGGGGCAACGAAGACCAGGCTAAAGAGGAGAGGCAGCGCTGCGCCGAGGCCCTGAGCGAGGTCCACCCCATCTCCTCGTCCTCTGACTCGGGCACCGCTGAGGAGCACCATGCTAGGACGAGTCCTCAGAGTGAGCGGCACGTCAGCCCCGAGAGTGACCCCCGCAGCCCCGACCAGAGGGCCGCCCACGCTTCCGCCGAGCCAACCCTGCGTCCCGAGGCCGTGACTGACGATCGGAACCTGCGCAGGCGGCACCGCTCCAGGGGCCCTGAGGACCTGCGCCCGGCGCCCACCCCGCTCTCGGCGCACCCCCCAGAGCGCCCGCGCGGCAGGGTGCGGGAACCAGTCGCCTGGGAGCCGCATGCCACGGCGGTGAGGCGCGAGTCCAGAGAGGACGGCCGGCCGCGCGCAGGAGAGCGAGACCGCGACCGCGACCGCAACCCGAGCGCGGCGGGGGCGCCGTGGCGCAAACACGATGCCAAGGACTGGGACACAACTAAGGGGCGCCACTGGGACCGGGCCGAGGACTCCGGCTGGGGCTCGGCTAGCGCGCCTTGGCGCCAGCCAGAATCGCGCAGCTCCCACTGCAAGGACGACCGCAACCACGCCGACGCCAGCTGGTCGCACGCCGCGTGCCGCGCTGGTTGGCAGCGCCTCCAAAGCGAGACAGTAGTGACACACCTGAAGAGGGTGCAGACGGAAGGAGGATACCAGTTCAACGTAGCCTGGCATTCGCGGTGCCGGCACAACTACAAGGAGCAGAGCAAGGGCAAGTCCAAAGACCAGGCGCCCTTCGACCCACGCCGTTGGCAGCCGTGGATCATCGACCACATTCCCGGATGACATGAAGGCCAGCAACTACCAAGTGGACCGATGGTCCAGCAGCGCAGGTGTCTACGTGGATTGGGAGCGGGAGCAGGAGCTTTATCAGGAGGTGCAGAGGAAAAGGGAGGTCGCTAAGGGTGACGGACGCGACGGGGACCAGGCCCGCAGTTCCGGGCACCGCGACACCTGAACTGGGAAGCGCCCACGGCGCTGACTGTCGCCGGCCCTGCCACACCCGACCCGCTGAACCACGGCCCACCCTGCCCGCAATTCCCATTACCTGCGCCCCCGCCCCCAACCACCCCACACCTTTCAACCTGCTTGGGGCCGCGTGTTCCCCTTCCCCCGCCGCCACCTGATACCCTTCGCCCGTGTGGCGTATGCTGGCCAAGTGTTGGCTGTCACCTGTTCACCTGGGCCTGCCCTCTGCTCCTCCTCCTCTCCTCCTCTCCTGTTGCCAAGAATGCCAAGAAATTGGGACTCTGTGTCCCACCTGTATGTATCGGCTGGTCGGGTCTCCCTGGCCTGGGACTCTGTGTTCCCCCTGTGCCCTGCTTCGGCAATCACCTGTTCACCTGGGGCTGCCCTCTCCTCCTTCTCCTCTCCTCCTCTCTTGTATCCAAGAAATTGGGACTCTGTGTCCCGCCTGTGCCCATCGGCTGGACTGGACTCAAGAATCTGGGACTCTGTGCCCCCCCTGTTCTTGCCTGAGAGGCGTCCGCACGACGGCGACGTGCGTGGCGCGCCCGCGCTGGGGCCTCGGGCCTTACCTGTGCGTACTGGGACGTGTCCCCACGCGTGCACCTTGTGCACGGTGGCGGGACTCCGGCCGGCGTGGGACGCTGGCCTCTCTCCTCCCTGCCCGCTTCCCCCCCCCCGTTCGCTCTCCCCCCCTCCCATGGCGGCAGCGCCCGGCACAGCGTGGCTCCTGCCCGGTGCTGGCTCTGCACCTAGCCGCCTCGGCGGCCCCGCTCACCCTGGGCAGCGCGGCTCTGGCCCGGCCCGCGGCAGGCGGACACAGTCGGCCCTCTTGCCGAACCTCGGGGCTGCTACCTGAACGTGGGCTGGACTACCACCCCAGGCCGCTTCTGATCACCTGGTTGCACAACGCTGCACGCCGACTTCGTGGTCGTCCGCATCTCCTGGGCCCCTCCTTATCAGTCGGTGGCACCTGGTGCGTTTCGCCTTCCTGGTCTTCCTCTACCTCGCGGACGTTGATTTGCTCACGGCCCTCCTCGCGCAGCACTCGAGGATGGTGTTCTTGGCGCGCCGACGACGGCAACGCCATTCCACTTTCCCTGCGGGACCGCGCCCCCTGATCCAGTCCACGGCGCACCCTGTCCTGTGCAAGTTCTTCGGCGCCGCCTGTTTCCTGAGCCCTCCGGCCGCCTGGGGCCCCGCCCGCCCGCGCCCTGTCTCCCTGATTAGGGCTACCCGCGTCCCGTTTAGCTCTTGACCGGAAGGGGCCCGCTCCCGACCCGCAGACCAAAAAGTTGTGGTTCCCTAGCGTGGATGGTAGGCAGTAGTTGTTGACAACATCCTGCGTAATCGGGTTGCCCTGGGAGCCCTGGGCGTCCACATAACGTAGTACTGGCTCCCGGTTGTGGTCGTGGGCTGGCAGTGGAGTTTCGCACTGTTGTCCAAATCTGTCTCGGCGAAGATGTAGCTCACGTAGTAAATATTAAATGTGCGTGCGCTGGTATGGATCCATATCGCACTGTTACCCGTATAACTTTGCACCAATCGCTTCGTTAAGCTGTCCATTTGTAGGGGTGCCTTTGTCGATTTCGATGGTGAAGTCGTCGTCTTTCTCGGGGTCCCAAGACAAGTTTTTAGTTGAACTTGACAGCTAAGTCGTATGGTTGATCCCACCAACATGTGATATATGTTCTTATAGATTATGGAACAAACCCTGGGGAGGTTCGTCCGTGGGGGTTTGTCCGGATCTTTGCGGGGTTGTCCAAGGGGTTGTCTGGGCCGCGCTGTCTTGCCAGCGCGTACACATGCCAGTATCATACATACCATCAGAAGCGTGGCACAACCAGGGAAGCCCAGCTGGACATGTCGCCTCTCGTTCCCTCTTCCCCTCCTGTCGGTGCCTTGTCTCTCGTGTCCCCCCTCTGCTCCCGTTCGCACGCCTTCCGTTACCGCGTTTCCCAAACAGTTGCGTTGACTGGGGTCTTGTTGCGGTAGAAACTTGTCCTGGTAAAGGGGCCAGCACTAAGAGACATCCGCGAACATCGGGGGTGGTCTTGCCAGCTTCGCCAGAGACATCCTCGCAATTTTGGGTTCGGAGATGCTCTGAACTGAGGTGGTGGTCTGGCCAATTTGGCTTCACATTCTCGCAATTCTGGGTTCGGAAATGCTGCCGTCCCCGCATCTCTGGGCACGGAGATGCAGCACGCATGTGGCCCAGCCAGTTCCGCAAGAAACATCTGGGCTCGAAGTTGCAGCGCGCGAGGTTGTCCATCCAGTTTCGCCAGAAAAATTATCGCAACTCTGGGTTCAGAGATGCCGTGTAACATTTTCTGGCCAGTTTCGCCTGAGACAACCTAGCAACTCTGGGCTCAAAGATGCCCTCACGTGAGCCGGTCAGGACCGTTCCTTCTGAGACGTCGTCAGATGCTGCGCGAAAGATGGTCTGGCCACTTTCGCTTGGGACGCCCTCGCATGTCTGGGCTCGGAGATGCAGCGTGCGCGGCCTGTGTCGCCCGAGACGTCCGCGCACTTCTGGGCTCCAATCTTGGACTCCGATATGACCTGACCTGAGGTGGTCCACAGAGTCCCCTTAGACCCTCGTGGACCAGGGGCGTCCTCGATGGCGCGAATTCGCGCTTCGCGGTTCGGCTCCGATTCCTCCTCGTCCTCCTCTTCTCCCCTGGGAGGCGGCGCGGGAGCGCGAAGTTGTTCGCACTTCGCGTTTCGCGCAGCGCGAAACGCGAAATTGGGAGCCCTCAGTGGGGGCCCCCTGGTACCCTGAGCAAGTCTCGCTGCAGCCGTGGGTCCGGACCCCAGGAAGGCCCCGGAGGCCCCGCAGTGGGCCAGAAGCGCTCCGCGAAGCCCTTCCGAAAGCGTCCGATCCCCTCCCCAAAGCCTCGGCTTGCGAGGGCCGACGGGCCCTTTCGACCCTCACCTCTCGGGGGCCCCCCCGCCCCTTCGGGGAAGGTGCCCCTGGCCCGGGGTGTGCCCAGCCCTGACCTTCCAGGAGGGCTGCAAAATAGCACCCGACTTAAAAACCTATCCCAAAGCTATTATACGTCTTGGTTTTAGGCTGTTTCGCTCGGCTTTTTAGGTTTTAGGTATCCAGTGCTAAAAAATAGCTCTCTGGAAGGTCAGGGAGGATGTCCACGGAGGCCGCCACGGCCTCTCCATGAGCACCCGTCCACGAGGGCCCAGAGCGGGCCCCCGGGGGCTCCAGGATGGAGACGAGGAGCTGGGGGCGCCCTGGGCCAAGGGCGCCTGGGGCCTCCCCCGCCAACACGGGCGCTCGCTGTCCCGAGCCCCCCATCACGGGTCGTCCGCGGTGGGGCCGCCCGCATGCCAGGCTCACGTCGGGCACGTCCCTCTGCAGGAGGAAGTTTCAGAAATCGCAGAGAAATAGTAGTAGACAATGTTTTGGACTGCTTTTGCACGTTCCTTGACATTTTGTTTGATGTTTCGTCCAATCTCCGCCTGTAGGAAGGCACGCCCGACCGAATCCCGAGCCCCCATCACGGGTCGTGCGCGGCGGGGCCGCCCGCATGCCAGGCCGTGGAGATGATCAAGGACCTGCTGGAGGCCATGCAGGAGGACCTGCAGGCGCACCCAACCGACCTCGAGGGCAGCAGCGCCTCTCGACCGCGGTCGAGATTCCACGGTTTATGATGTTGCAACCTATTTCAGCCTTGATCACGAGAAAGAATCTCGAGCACCAAAAAAGTACCAGAACTCGAGGGTTCTCACGTGACGGGCCATGGGAGACACTCGCCCGACACTGTTTCGACATTATCTCGACACTTTTCCGGGTGCTCGAAATTATTTATGGGATGAGATCTTTAAGTACGATGGGAGCAACATAAGTCACATAATCTCTTCGACACTGGTCATGGTCATCGTCCCTGCCGACCGTGAGGACGATTCGCGAGGACGATCCACGAAAATTGACGATGACCAAGCCTGACGACGACCGAGATCGATACCGACGTCTCCGCGCTCAGTGTTAGGTCATGGCCCTCGTTTTCTCTCACTCCAGCACTGGCCCTCCGACAAACAACAACAAAGGTCCGACCGGACGCCCGAAAGCGTCACGCCCCACTCGTGGGGATGACAGTACTGTACAACAGGCCTGCCATGACGAGAAAAGCTGGCCGCGAAAGAAGAACACAGGATGTCGTATTGACTGGCGTGCTTGCGAAGGAGGGGGGAGGAGATGGGAGGGCGACGGAAATCAGCTATTCGTGCACTCGACGTGCCGCGCGTGCGCGACCGGCCCGCGGTCACGGGTCGACCGCCGGGCCCCTCCTGCAACAGGACACTCCTAACCTTAAGTCGGGCCTGTCCCTCTACAGGAGGAAGATTCGAGAATAGTCGAAAACTCGTCTGGGGACTATTGTTTGATCATTTTTTGACTATGTTGGGGTATTCTTTCAGTATTTGTGATTTTTCGCGCAAAATCCGCCTGTAGGGGGACACCCGACCTAATCCGAACCCGAAGTTCGACCCTCCAACCTGGATGAAAACGAAGCATGGAGAGCACAGTGAACCCGCCTGGTAAGGATGGGCGATTCTCCTACGTGTCATGGCGCCAATATCGCAGAGCGGATTTCGTTCGGAAGACGATAGGATGGGCCCGGAGTGTCCTGGAGAATGTCGTTCCGGATTTCTTTGGCCAGGAGTGAGGACCAAAAAACATCCACGCGAATTTCATTCCGTTTGTCGCTCGCCGCTTCGGGCAGACATCCACGCAGAAATTTGCTGCAGCACGTCTGCAGGGCCGGTGCAACGAGAAGGGCACCTTCGGCCCACACTTGGCCACCCTTGGCCACCTCTTCGCCGGCCCCGCCCCGCCCGACAAGCTCCGCAAGGGCCCTCCGAGGCCCTGGGCGTCCTTCTCGTCGCCGCATCCCTGTGACATGGGGGCCGGCTGTATGTCTCCACCCACGGCTGCAGTCTGCGCCAGCGGGCGCGCACCGCTGCCCTGCTGCAGCAAGGCAGTTCCCGCCCGCGGGGCCCCCGGAGGCTCGGGGCCGCCCGGGCCTCTTCTGCCCCCGAGCGGCCCCGCGCGTGGGGGCCGCTCGTTCTCCGGTCGTGCTGGTCGGTCTTCTGCACGGCGTCGCCGCGTCGGTGTCTCCTGCTCGCTCTTGCGCTTGCTCTCGCTCTTGCTTTCTCGCTCTCTCTCTCTCTCTTCCTCTCTCTCTCTCTCTCTCTCTGGGGGACGCGTCGGAGTTGTGGCGCGCCGTGCCTGGGACGCCTTCCTCCTCCCTCCGCCAGCCCTCTCTCCTCCTCCAGTGATTCCCGGTTCAATGATGTGATTCCTCGTTCAATGTTTGACGCGTCGCGTATCCCCACCAGCCCATGCAGCAACGATGCCCAGGGGAGTTGAGGTGATCAGGCCAGCGGGAGAGCATGCCGAAGAACAAAGGGAGGAGAGGAGGAGGAGGAGGAGGAGGAGGAGGAGGAGGAGGAGGAGGAGGAGAAGGAGGAGGAGGAGGAGGAGGAAGGAAAGAAGACGGCGCAGGACGAGCTGAAGGGAGGAGGGATGAGTATAGTAGCAGGGAGGAGGAGGAGGAGGAGGCGGAGGAGGAGGAGGAGGAGGAGGAGGGAGGAGGAGGAGGGAGGAGAGGGGAGGAGGAATACGTGGATGAGGAAGAGGAAGACGACGGCGAACAGAATAGCCAGAAGCTTCAAAGATGCCTCTCGGAGTCTCCGGGAGCCCACGAAATCGCCTCTTGGGGCGCTCTTGGGGCCGTCTTGGGGCTCTCTTGAGCCTCTCTTGGGGCCCTCGTGGGCCATCTTGGGGGCTTCTTGAGGCCTCGGATGGCCACGGGAAGCGAAAAGGCGAGAAATCAAACCACATTTTTAGGTTTTAGCAGGATTTGGGCTTGTTCGGGGCCTCCTTGGGGAGCTCGTTGGCCGCTTGGAGCCATCTTGGGGCGGTCGTGGGGTCTCTTGGAGCATCTTGGGAGCCATCTTGCCGCATCTAAGACTATGTTGATCCATTTGGGAGGTCATCTTGGGCTCTCTGAGTCCCTCTTGGAGCCGTCTTGGTCCATCCTAGACGCTCCAACGCCTCGCCGCCTCCAGGTCCAGGGGAGGGGGTTTGGGGAGGGGTAAAACCCTCCCCGAAGGGGAAGAAGGGGGTTGGTACAGGGGCCTCCCTAGACCACCTACGCCCAAAGGGCTGGTGGGATTATCCCGCCCTCCCTTCCTCCCCTTCTTCTCCCTCCTCCTTACTTCCTTCCTCCAACATCCTCCACCTCAAGCACCGCATCACTCCACCCTCCCTCTCTTTCTCCTTCTCCTCCCTCCTCTTTGTCCTTTCTATTCCCTCCCTAGTTCCTCCCTCAGCTATCCCTCATCCCGCCTCCTCCTCCTTCCCACCTCTCTGCGGCACCACCTGTATCAGGACGAACGAAGATGAATGGGAGTGAGGAGGAGGAGGAGGAGGTGGAGGTGGAGTAAAGGGATGAGCATGATGAGGAGGGGGGAGGCTGAGTAGGGGGTAAAGGGGGAGCATAATGGGAGGAGGAGGAGCAAGAGGAGGAGGAAAGAGGAGGAGGAAAAGGAGGAGGAGGAGGAGGAGAAGGAAAAGGAAAAGGAGGAGGAGAGGAGGAGGAGGAGGGGGAGGAGGGAGGAGGAGTGATGATGGAGAACGAAGGAGGAAGAGGAGGAAGAGGAGGAAGAGGAGAAAAAGGAAGAGGAAGAGGAGAAAAAGAAGGAGAAGGAGGAGGAGGGCAAGATCACCAGAGGCATCTCCCGCGACCCAAAGAGGCAAAACACCATCAGGGTGTTCTGCAGTGTCCTCGGGGGCCCTTGGAGGCTCCAGCGGGTCCTCCCCCTCGGCCTGGACATACTATGCCATGGTGCACGCGTGTCATTTCGCATCGTCTACATACTCCTCCTCCTCCTCCTCCTCCTCCTCCTCCTCCTCCTCCTCCTCCTCCTCCTCCTCCTCCTTCCGTAGCCATTTTGGCTCAAGCCATTTTGGCTCAAGTTGCAGGGCAATCCGCGATTTGAGTGGGCAGCTCCGTTCGGAGCCATCCCAGGTGTCGTGCCTGGGCGGTCACTCTCCCAGTTCCCGTCTTTGTTTCTCCCAGTCTCCAGACACTCTCCCAGTTCTCGCCATGTCGTCGGTCGAGGAAGGCATCAAGCAGATCCTGCAGCAGCTAGGGGGTGCCAACCAGCGTTTAGCCACCGTCGAGTCCTCTATGTCCGCGCTCGACTCCCTCAAAGAGAGCATCATGTCGCACGACAGGAACATGGCTACGCTCACGCAGAGGATCAACACGATTGAGCCCCGCATCGCCACCTCCTCGGACGCTGCCGCCGTCGCCACTCTGCGTATCCAGATGGAGCAGCGCATGGCCGCCATCGAGTCGTCTCAGTCGTCGCGCTCCAGTGGCAGTTCTGACAGCTCTGGTCCTCCCACCTCGCGACGCCGTACTGGTACGCCGCCGTCTACTGCGGGCAGCAGCACTAGCCGATCACACGATGATGAGTTCGACCCGCTCAAAGTCTGGGTCGGCGGCTTCACCAGACCCATGCTCAAGGCCTCTCTTGAGCAGCACGGCGACCTCCTCGTGCAGAGCTTGCCTACGCACATCAGGCAGGCAGGCATCGTCATCAAGGGCCACAATCCCGCCAAGAGCTAGTCAATCCAGTTCGCCAGCAACGTTGACGCGCCCTCCTTCATCGGCCACGCTCGTGCCCAGGGCATTTTGTGGAACGACTCCCACTCCAACACACAGGTCCAGCTTCGCTGCCGCCGCGACGCCCCGACCTCCGTTCGCCACAAGAATAAGTTCCTCGGAAAGATCTGGCAGCTGGTCAATGCTCACCTTCGGCAGACTGGTCAGTGGAACGACGCCACGCACAAACTCGGGGTCAACGGTTTCAAGGGCATCCTCTTCTGCGCTGTCAGCGACGTTGTTCACGAGCTCTTCTCAGTTTCTGAGCAGGACGTCGGCCAGTTCGAGATCTCTCCTCACCCCGTCGGCATCGCCACCTTTCAGATCTCGGCTGACCAGGCCAGCTCAATGATCACAGCCGCGCGCTCGTCTTGAAAGAGTGCCTCGCCGACCAGGTCTGATCCAGCCATCGTGGCTGGGATGCGTGTTCCCTACCCTCAGTCGCCTTCCTCTACTAGATGTCTGAGCTCTTCGACCGCCTCGTCCTCCTCTTCTGGCTCGTCTGGGTCTTCTACTGGTTCGACCTCGTCGAGTGGGTCCTGTTTACCGTCGCCCTTTGGGCCGTCTTGCTTCTCTCCGTTTCCTGGGGATTGGACTCACTCGCCGTTTATCTGGGAGTCTCACTTGAGTATCGTTTCGTGGCACGCTCGATCGCTTTTTGGAGGCATCACCTCGATTCTGGGCATCGTCAAAAGCAAAATGTCTCGCCTAGTATCCTATGTCCAGAAGTACCAGGTGGTTTGCATTCAGGAAGCTAGAGGCACCAAGTTCGACCTCCAGAGGCTGTGTTCTGAAGTCCATGACGTTTGGGGTATTGGGTCCATCTTCGATGGCAGGTCTGCGGGAGGTGCTCTCATTTTTCTGCACCCTGATCTTCGAAGTCATTTCCAATGCTGTCGCTACTCCGTCCTCGTACAGGGCCGAATTCAGTCTCTCGCGCTGGGGGGCAGCCGTGGGGCGCTGCAGCTTCTCAACATC